ATGAAAAAAAAATCCTTCTATTTAGAATCAGAAAAACACAATTGAAATAGGGGGGGGGCACAATGAGGAAAGAGGGCTTGGAGAATTTTTTAAGGCCAAAGGTGCAATGAGAAACAGCAAGTAATCTATTTAAGGAATATGGGTGAATGAATAGCAGAACAGGGAAAAGTGGGTTGACAAAGAATCCAAAGTTGGTTAAAGTTACAAGAAAGATGATCAACGACGTTCTGAAGTGAGGCGGCCTATGTCCAGGGGTGCATATAGTAATCATTTGCAGTTCATTGCTATGGAGCAATGTTTAGCAGTCTAACCCCGCGGAATATTGCTACTATCGCCAGTTCAACACTGAACTTCCTAATTAAGGGCGACACTTCATGGAGTTGGTAAGTTTGTCTTTCCAACAATTACTGAAGTATAGACTTTGAGCCTAACAGGGCGCCCTACATTGGACTGGTGTCTCATAATGAAGCAATGATTAGCTAACTCGTAATAAAGAACATCAAAACATTTAGGGGTCTTATCTTGTCGTCAAGTGCTAAGTGAAGCTAAGTTTTGCATTTTAATGTCTAGAAATTAAATCTGGCCGACTAAGCGATTAGTACAGAGCGATCGGTCCTCACTAGGTGCACTGTTACATTGTTTTGTGCAGGATTAAGTACATTTTGGTGAAGATCTCCAGTGACCTACTGTCAGCTTAGGGAATTCAGTGCCATTTTGTACAATATGTTGTACAAAGGGCATATTGATCTGACTATAGTAGCAATATTCTCCGAGATTAAAATGTTAACCATTGTTCCACGGCGATGCATTCAATGTGTTAGCAAATGATTAGGCCTCTTTTGAGATTTATGGCGCTATTTTGTGAACTAAATGAAATGGTTCTGGTATATTTTCGTCCCGACCAAGAAGGAATAAAAAAAAAAAAGCTGATGTTTGTCATTTGGTCAGAATTTCGGAAAGGGGTCCTGCGGAGCATTTCTCGGCGCCATCGGTATAAATATTAAATCCGATCTTTACGAAATGTTATAACTGAATCATGGAATTCACTTTGAATTCAGTGACCGAGATCGAGAAGGAATTCAGTAAAGAAAAGCCAAATATTTACACCACGTGGATATCGCATATTTTCCAAGTTCATGAATGTACTAAACTCAATTAAAGATTTCACTACATTCCCAAATTCTTCCCAAATGACCAAAAATCAAATTTTTTGGACGAAGGATATCTTTGTCGGAGTAAATTTTCATCAGCTCCTTGGATAAATTCCAACTGATATTTCTCTTCGCTGTCTAAAATGTTATATGGACTAAAACATCGATCCTTAGAGTCAACTTACTGTTATTCCAGCCGCTGAATGGGTCCAGATTTCCACTTTTGCACCACCACCCAGCAACCTCACCATCTGAAATAGGAAAATTGACAGTTATAGATACCATCAAAGATTCAATAAAAACTGCGCATATATGATGAAAAATGCATTAAACTTAATAAAAACGAAGTTTTATTGCCACTTATGTTACTATGAAGTGGAAATACCAAAGGATTTTTGTATTATTAAATTATATTTTTACCCTTTTTAGAACCTTCGAAAGTTTCGTAAAATATTTGTTTTTCTTGATGGCCATAAATTAATATTGGAAATTTTAGCCTCTTTTTGCTATGCAAAACTCACAGATTTGGAAATTCTTGAAAAAATCAGATAATTGTCGAATTTTAATGAAACTTTCAGGAATTATTCACAAATGAATTAAATTATGTTTTAAAATGTTTCTTATTTAGTAAATTTTGTAAAAAAAAAAATGTTTTTTACATGTTACCACCCCGAGCGCTAGCTATATAATTTATGAAATTTCGAGAATTTCTTTTTGTAGCGCTTAATATTTATATTAGTTGTAAGAACAAGTCCTCGGAGAATTAAATACACGAAATGTTGTTGTTCAAACAGGACCCCCTTCTTACGAAAAAATGCAACAAAACTAAGACATTATTTAATTATAAAAATATTTTAATTCCTTTTATAAATGAAATATATTATGGATTATTGTATTATTAAATTATATTTTTACCCTTTTTAGAACCTTCGAAAAAAAAGAAAAAAAAAATCGATAAATAGTGATCTTTTGCAAGAATTGGTTTAATTTTTTAAAATTTTAATTATAATAATTTATAAACTTTTAAATGTTTTAAAAGTGTGTATTAATTTGTATCGGTCAAGTGATTTTGTTATTAAATTAAGACTTGGAAAGCTCACTACAATTCAACGAACCCCAATATTTTAAAAATAATTGTGGATTCAGTTTATGTTTGTATAAATGTGTCAATTTTTATAAATACGGATCTCCAAACGCGACATTATCAGAAAAAAAAAGAACAGTAACTATAGTAAAGTTAAAATTTATTAGTAATTTTCTAACATTTTCACAACAAGCGTCTTCGTAAGTTAGTACCAAAGTATATAAATTCAATAAAATATTAAATTGTTTAGAAAATGTTCTTAAATTTTTAAGATTACTGGGTAGTTAAAAAAATTATATAAAAAAAGTTGTTCACGTTACATTCGTCAAGGAATTTTTACCTTTACAAAAAATTATCTCCCTCAGAAAAAATCCTGAACGAAATAGTTTTCAACACCTTATAAAACACTTATGTTAAAAATGGTTTTCTATATTTTAAACTAAAAGAAATATTTATTTCAAATCAGATTAATTCAACTTTAAATCAGCTAATCTTCCTCAAATAAAATTTCAGAAAAGTTTTATTTTTGCAAGATTTTTTAATAAAGAGTATTCCTTTATTTTGGCATATTTGTCAACAAGGACGATTTTAGCGTTTTTACCTATAATAAAAAAGCTCATTCCAATCAATTTAAATTTAGTTTGAAATACAATAAGGTATTTTAGTTATTGGAAATATTAAATTTACTCTATTAGCTTGAATTTAAAACTTAAATAAAACCTTCTAGAAAGAATTCTTATTTTTAAAAATGCATTTAAATCTTAGGTATCTCTTTTCGTTGCAGATTCCTAAAATATTCAAAATACTTCTAATTTGAACTCAATTAACCATTCAAAAAAATTTATCCCCAGTTTTAATTAAATTAAGTTTTTTACTGTAAAAAAAAAGCCTACCTAATAATTTCCTACTTACTTAATTTCTTACTTTTGGTTTAAAAAATAGACCTGCTTCTAATTTTCACACTAAAGGTTTTGGTTTTGAATATATTTTTTAAACTATGAAGGGGTTTCGGTAATCTTAAATCGACAAGCGGATCTGACACAAAAATTGACTCCGTTTCTCTTCGAGCGAATAAAGCATGTAGAACTTAACAAGGACCATTCGTCTTCAAGTATCATCTGGTGTTAGAGAATCACAAAAAATAACTGTAGAAAACAAACAGAAATATCATCATTTGAGGACTTTTATCACAATCAATAAATAAAATGAATAGCACATGTAAGCGGAAAATAATCAAGCATGTAAACTTCCACACTATTTCAAATAAATAATTCAAAAGGAAGCCCTCATCAATAGTGGCAAGAACGATAACACGGCCTGTTCGATTAATGTTTCCTTATAAGGAACGGCTATTATCATTATTAAAGATGGTAAGATAGATACTACATTTTGATCCCAGTCCGATGGCCAGGAAGTGAAGGAAAGCTTAACTCGAGCATCACTAGCTGTTCGGGCAATGAATGCTGAATGTTTCCTTATAAGGAAACTGTTAATAAAATCATTACTTATTATGAGAACAGATACTACTCTTTGATCTCAGTCCGATGGCCAGGAAATAAAAGAAAGCATAACTCGATTCGCACGAGCTGTTCGTGCAATCAATGTTTCCTTATAAGAAAACATCTAATGTTAACATTAGACATAATGAGAACAGATACTACACTTTGATCTGGGTTCGATGGCCAGAAAGTGAAAGAAAGAATAACTCGAGTAGATGGAACATGAATGAATGTCAAATGTTTCCTCACAAGGAAACGGCTATTATCACCATTATTGATTATGAGGACACTTTGATCCCAGTCCGGTGACCAAGAGGTAAAGGAAAGCGTAACTCGAGTAGCACTTGCTGTTCGGGCAATGAATGACGAATGTTTCCTTATAAGGAAACGGCTAATATTACCATTATCATTATTGTAAACTATTATGTTTTGTGGTGAATTCGACTCTCAGTGGTGTGACGCTATCTGCCTTAGAGTAATACTAATCTAATCTTAGTAGAAAAAACGGTAATTTGAGATGAAGCGAGAAATACATTTACAGATAAGTAAATATGAACATAGGTATGTAAGTCCTGTAGAATTTCTTGTAAAGGATAAGATCTCAGCCTCATCACGATTTACGTTTCTGTAAAAAGTAGTTGTTTTTTTGTTGTTGTTTTGTTTTTGTACAGGATGGAGTGACTACTTGTATGATCAACAAAGATGTACTTTTCCTAGACTAACTGCTAACCAAGGCTAGAGAGCTTAGTCTGCCTTGCTATTTAGCTCACAGATTCCAAGGGTATTTCTGCGAAAGTGAATGCAACAGTAATTTCAACTCGGCAGGAACGTAACCACTACGCTATGCACGCATCCAATATGAACACAGCAAATATAGTAAATATGATAGATGGATAGAAAATGTACAGATTTAGATAGATAGATAGATAGATAGATAGATAGATAGATAAAAATGAACAGACCCAGATAGATAGATAGATAGATAGATAGATAGATAGATAGATAGATAGATGTTATCTGCATGTGCAAATGCATTCGTTTATACTTAGGTACAAATTACATAAAAGCCGTCGTAAACAACTTGCATATATACACGCAAACATACAAGGAACCTAAGACCGGAGATTTTCTGTTTCTCAGACGATAATTTGTTGGTTGCGGGAGCGAGGCGGAAATGAGTAGGCGAAGACGATGACGGTCAGAAGAGTTTAACGGGAAAACTGCCTAATCCGATAATGGGATTTGTGAAAGTCCAGCCCAGAATAGATGGATCTCCACCTTATTCCCATCGCTCTTTTTCATTCTTTCTTTCTTTCTTTCTTTCTTTCTTTCTTTCTTTCTTTCTTTCCTCTCTCTCTCTCTCTCTCTCTCTCACTCTCTATCTCTCGAACGAATCTATGCTTATATTTCTCCTTCACCTTCCATTTACTTTCTGTCTCTCCTTTATTCTGTTTAGTCTCGATCAAATTTTATCTTTCCTCTTTCTTCTTCGCTCTCTGTATTTTCAATACCTCTTCTTCCTTTCCTTTCTCTCTCTCTTTACCTGTTATTTATTGTATATCGAATTTCCTCTTCCTTTTTTCCTCATATTTCCTCTGTGTGTGTTTCCTCTCCGGTTATTCCTTTCTTTCTTTTTCTCATTAATCTATCGCATTCGTTCTTCTTTCTCATATATATATATATATATATATATATATATATATATATATATATATATATATATATATATTATTATTTATTGATTTTTCCTCTTTGTCTCTCTTTTTATACTTATTATCTCTGTTTGATTTAATTCTGCTTCTTTATTGAATATTTGGTCTTCAGAGATTTCTCGATCGTTCCTTTCTTTCTTTCTTTCCTTCTTATTTCTTTCTTTTTCTTTGTAATGTATATAGACTCTATCGATTTTCTCCCTTTATTTTTACTCTCTTAATATTCCCTACCTCTCTAATTCACTATCTTCCTTCCCTCTTTGTTTCTGATTCTCTCTCTCTCTCTTTCTCCTTTATTTTGTTTCTCTCTTGTTCTCTCTTTAACTCTCGTTTTGTTTTTATCTCTTATCTGTCTCTTTCCATTTTTCTTACATTTTGTTTCTTTTATGGCTCTCTCCCCTATTATTATTATTATTATTATTATTATTATTATTATCTCAGATTAAGTCTCTTTTTCTAACCTTATCTTTTAGCTTGTCTTTGTCTCTGTTTCTCTCTCACTCACTCTCTTTCTTTCACTCTTTTCCTCTTTGTCACTCCTTAACTTTATTTCGTTGTCTGTCTCTTTCTTCCTCTCAAATATTCTCCCTCTTCTTTATTTTTTTCATTTCTTTGAAAATGACATCTGCAGCCATGGCTGCCTTTTCGACAGATCCGCTATTTGCAGTCGATTTGGCGCCATTCGACAGACGTACAAAAGCAACTGGCTATGCGATAAACAGGTTTACCAGTAAAAGACAAGAGAATGGAAGAGGAAACACGGTAATGGATTGGAAATGGAGATGCCAACGCCAACGTCAGAGCGAAGAATTCATCGTTCAGAGAAAACAGTGGCGATTCCGCACGCTTTACGGCATATGGTCGTCGAATAAAGGGTGTGCATATTGGTGTGAAAAATTACGTAAACCTAAATATATATCTGTACCGATGTAGATATTTCATGAAATCAGCCAACTTGGACACAGGCTCATATTTATTCCCCTGTAAGAATTGAACTCATACCTAAGGTTTACATGATCCAAACTTTAACCACCCCATTATGATACATCATAGCTTAATTTGATATAAAACTAACAGTGTGGGTCATCTATGTGGGTTTAACGTATTACTTTAATTATTGAGATTGGATTAGGAGAAGCCGTGATCAGATTAGGTCTGAGTCTGTTGTGTTTATTTTCGTACTATGTGAAATACATATATTCTTAATGTTGTGGTAGGATCCACCTAATTTGCATAGTGGAGTACCGACCATATAAATATGGTTGGTACCGGGAAGAGAGAGGGAGGAATCAAGAGATTCAACCAGAGACTCTGCCCGACTACGACTCAGTCAACACATTCTCCAGGAACGGTCTTACCAGGAATATACAAAAGACTATATGTAAATATTGTGTACACTTTCTTGTTTCAATACATTTTGTTCTAAGTACCTTTTGTGTTGCATTATTATTCCATGCATTAGTCAAGTTTCAACACTTAATTTCCTCCCATCAGCTATGGATTAAATAGTAAGGTAGAATGAGATTTAATTTTGGGGTTGGAGCCAGTCCAGGAGGACAAAGCCGAATTCAAAATTGTGGAGAAGGTAAAGGGAATATACTCTACGGTCTGTTCCAAGAAGTTTCTGCAATTCACAGACAATAAAGGAAAGGAATCTGTAGATGGCAATTACAGCGCGTCTTCCAACTTTAAAAATCATCACTGCACATACATTGTGCATGTACGCGTACACGAGGTCCTATATACAAGGTCAGAGAATGTAACTACTTTAAAGAGTTACATAATCTATCAGGTTGTCACACATGAAATGACGCAATTTATAGGAAATGTATAAAACGCTTCTGAAATGATAAATAACTAATTTATTTCGTTGACATACGCACCACGTTGACAAATGACTTTTCTGCAACGTATCTATAAATACTTGATCCCATCTTTAAAAAAATTCTCATCATTTTATGGGATAAACAGTTCGAATGATTCGATTACCGCTTTTTTATTGGAGAAGTTTTTATTCTGCATGAAAAGATCAAAAGGCTTAAATAAGTGATAATCGGTAGGAGAGATATCAGACGAATATGGAAGATGAGGCAAAATTTCATAATTCGGCCTCTGCAGTTCTTATATGCAGTTCTTAGACAATTGACTAAGCAGCGTGCAGCCGTGCGTTTTTGTGCAGCAAAATTGGCCCGTCTCTATTCACAATCAATGATTATTATTCAATTATTCGTACATATACTCAATTTCTCCATAATATAAGGTTGCTATTATTGAGGCAAGATGCATAATGAATTAACCCCTTTGAAAGACCACCATACAGTAACCATTAAATTTTTAAGGTGAAGTGAGGATTTTGGGTATTCATTTGGTGATTCACTTCCATTTCACCACTGGCCTACTCTCTTACTGTTGTCAAAGAGTATCCATTTCTCATCGCCTGTAATGATTCGATACAAAAATGATTCTTTTTTTCCAGTTTGTACTCATATATTAAGATTATTCGATATAGTTTCACTGTAATCATTTTTATTTGGGCTTATATATTGAAAGAAAAATTACCTGGAAAAAAATGAATCAGGAATAAGTCAAGATTTTATTATATATTAGAGAAGTTACTTCTTTGAACAACCGGATCAACAACCAACCCAAAAATGTCCTCATTTCATATGTAACAATCTAATAATAGATAGATTCCACCTTTTCGAAATAATCACATTGGGCATTCAGACAGCGATCTTTCCAAAGATACAAAAGACAAAGGCTTTTGAAAAATAACTGCACTACTTTCGGATAAACGATCATATTCGCTGAACACTAACATCTGCACCCACAGATGAGGATTAAATCACCGATATTTTAATTACCAGATTATTGTATATTGTTGTATTTTCGGGAATAAGGCGACAAATTTGCAGCATCCACTGCAGAAATTACCCAAACATATGTGTATGCGTAGATATGTGTCAAAGAAAGCGATAGCAAAATAGGATGAGAATTTATATATATATATATATATATATATATATATATATAACAATGAATCATTCATACAAAAAGTAGATTAGTAAAGTTAATGATATAAAATGGTGAGATCCTTTCGCAAACAAAATTTTAAAGTTGCATTAACCTACGAACCATTCGATGAAGGTTATAATCCTTGTTATTAATAACTACAAGCTGTATAAGGTCTTTTTTTAATCTGCAAGTACTTTCAACTCTCCATTCAGTCATCCTCAGGCATGGAAATTACTTTGTTTTTAGTAACTCCAGGTAGCATGAGAGACGAAAAAATTAAATGCGAATTGAAATATATATTTTTTTTTATTAAATGTGTTATTGATAACGAATAAAAACTTGTGGAGCTTGCAGTCGCAACACTAAGGTTGAATTTTTTTCTAAAATTTATGGGAAACATGGATAAAGATGCCAAAAATAGGACAGAGTTCTAAAAGGACTCTTGTTCTCATGACTTCGCTTTTTAATAGCTTCAACTACCGCAAGGAAAGTTGGCTCTCTGGGTCGTGGCAGAAAGTTTTTTTCTCGTCAGAGTCCATCCTTCAAATATTTAAATCAACCATCCGCCCTTGGATGGAATATTGCTGTAATATAGGGTCTGGTGCTCCCTCTGTACGTCTCGAGGTCCTTGACAAAATCCAAAGACAATAGATGATAGGTCCTGATCTGGCATCTAGTATACAATAACTGTCCCACAGTGGCCTCCCTCTGTCTCTTCTACAAATATTTTCATGGCAACTGTTTCGACGAGCTACTTTCTCTGGTTCCCTGACTACATTAATTTAAACGTGCTACCAGGCTGGCATCTCGGTCCCACCCTTTCACTGTCAAAATGGTTAAATGTAACCGTCTCTTCTACTCAAACAGCTTCTTCTCTCTCACTTCCCGTCTGTGGAACTCCCTTCCCCTTACTTGCTTCCCCGATGACTATAATCTTCAAATATTCAAGTGTAATGTCAATCGACATCTGACACCCTGATCTTGTTCCTCGACCTTCTCTGAATCCTTTCCTCAAACATGCCCCTTTATTCTTGTTCACAATCCTCTATAACCCCTTGCGTGCTAGTGGCACTCCCGCTTTGCTTGGTGTGAATTGTATTAAAATAAACTGCCTTCACTCTTCGTTAATGGCTATTGTCTTAAAAGGCAACGATTAGAATTATTAGAAAACCCTAGCATATACAAGTGAATGAATACATTTTCTTTGTTCTTGAAAATGTACAAAAATGAATTAATACTATTTCTTTATTAGATTGTTTAAAACATTGACTAATTGCCAATCGATTCACACTTTATAAAATTGAAATAATAAGGATTTCCTTACAGTTGCTACACATATTTTAATAATTTATTAAATCTTTATAAATTTATGAATAAAAAATTGTTTTCACATTTATTTATTTTTTAATTGGTAAATGATAAATATTGCATTAGTTCACTATTTACATTATTCAGACTATTGTCCTCATCTTTGTTGCCATATTTATCACAACATTACGGCCGTTGTACGCTCCGGCCTTCTTCAGGTGGTTGGAAGGTCACACTAAACCCTTTATTTCGCTCGCCGGGGTAGACTGTTCTAGTTCCACCTGCCATGTCTGATGGATGTCAGTTATCAGTTATCTCCTTTTTATGCCCCTCTCCAAGCTCTCCACCGCCTTAACCAGGTATTGAACTCACACTCTTTGGGTCCTGTCACTGGATCTAACTAACGCCTTTATCCACTGTGCCATGTGTCCTTGAGGAAGGACCTGAAGAAGGCCGGAGCGTACAACGGCCGTAATGTTGTGATAAATATGGCAACAAAGATGAGGACAATAGTTTGAATAATGTAAATAGTGTACATATTACGTTATCTCAGAAATATAGATATGATTGCATTAGTTCTAATCGCATTAGGTTTTAGAATGTTGTAAATATAAATCTATTCTTGTAAATAGACAATCTAATTAACAGATAAAAAATGATAGTGTTTAATATGTTTGTTGCAAATTCTCAAGGACAAAAATGTATAAATTCACTTTCATCATGTTTTTAGGTTTTATTACAATTCTAATCATCGCTTTATAAAAGAATGGAGAGTGAAGATAGTTAAAAAAGACAGTGTCATCGGGGGAAAACAGTCCTTTTATCGATGTTTGCCAAATTTACATTTTCCAAACAATGGTAATGCTAGGATTCGATAGTTTACTGAGGAAGATGTTGGAGATTTTAAGAAATAGCTAATACTCAATCTGCGGCTATTGCCACCTGAGATCTTTAATATTGTTAATAAAAAAAAGAATATAGGAGGAAAAATGAAGAATTTGGAGAAAGAAAGTTGTAATAAAAAGATAAAATGAGGATATGTGATGTTGGTGCCGTGGTAGAGGTTATAACGATAAAGATGTGCATGCCATCGATAAAGTGTCGTCGTAGTTGTTGTAGTGGTGGCAGAAACGACAGAGAAAGAGAAAGAGAGAGAGAGAGAAGAGAAAAGAAATAAACTGTAAGAAGAAAATCAAGACTACGAAAGGAAACAAGATGGCGATGTCTTTTGGTGTCGACAGAGATGACATTCAGTGGCAAAGTATAAATGGCAAAAAAAAGGAAGAAGAAGAAAAAATGGAATGCATTTAAATGGATTTAAATTAGGATTTTGATTAAAATAAAATCAAATAAAGTAAGGAATTGGCAAACAAGTCCGAATAAAAATTGGAAATGACAATAAATACAGAAGACAAGGAAATGAAATGCGAAAAATATAGGGAGAAATTGAGAAAAAAATATCGGGAATTGGATAAAATGAGGGGAATTGACAAAATTGTTAAGATGCCCTTCGATAATGAAGGTTTTGCGTAGGAGTTTCAGTTGTAAAATGTGAAAAGTTAGAAAAATCATGACAAAATACTGTCGTTAGTGCATGTGAGGAAAAATACTGATGAAAACAGTTGGAACAAGATAAGAAAGAAATTAATACAAAGAAAAGTAAGTAATAGATATGTATTATTTTTTTTAAATAAATATACAATAAAAAGAAAGAAAGAAAAATGAAAAAAAAACATTTGACAGTGAAACGTAGCATGAGAAAGAAAACCATGGAGAATGACGTGTGACCTGGGAAAGAAAGAAAGAAAGAAAGAAAGAAAGAAAGAAAGAAAGAAAGAAAGAAGTGTATAAAACGTAAAAAAGAAAGAAAGCAAGAAAAAGAAAGAAAGCAAGAAAAAGAAAGAAAGAAAAAGAAAGAAAGAAGTGTATGAGGCGTAAAAATAATGAAAGAAAGAAGTGTATAAGACGTAAACAGAAAGAAAGAAGGAAATAAATAAATAAAGAAAGAAAGGAAGGAATGGCATAAGAGAAAAATATGGAAAAAAGAAATGAGAAAAAAGGAATAAAACTGAGGTGAAAATAAGCATAAAAGAAAGTAATAAAATAAAAAAATAAAAGGTATTTAAGCAAAAAAAAGGAAAGAAAACGAATGACTGTAAATATGACGTGAAATGTGGCATAAAGAAAAAGGTAGAAAAAAGGTAGAAAGATTGAATAAAGAAAAAAAGAAAAGAAACGAAAGAAAACGAAAGAAAACGAAAGAAACGAAAATAAAGCAAATTTTGCTCGAAATAAAGAAAGCAAAAAGAAAAGCTAAAAGTTAGAAGGAAAGAACAGAGAATTAAAAAAAAAGGAAAAAAACTGAAGATGAAACAAAAAACAAAATGTCGAACATAGAAACAAGGAACAAGGAGAAGCCAAAAGAAGACATGGGAATGAACGACAGAACGAATGAAAAAGAAAATCACCAACGTTGGCAAAGATGAGCGCAAGATAATAAAGAGAGACGAAGAAAAGAAAGGCAATAAGCTGAAGTGGAAAGAAAGAAAGAAAGAAAGAATTGTATTTGTGAGAAGAAAGAAAAATTAAACGAGAAAAGGAAATCAAGGAAAAGTGAAGAGGAAAGACGAAGGTAAGAATGAAAGAAAGAAAAATAGGTGTCAATTCATCAAAAGAATGAATAAAAAAGATAAGACAAAAGCAAGCTTAAATACACACAATGAATGACATGGGAATGAAATTACAATTTCCTTTGCATATCCTGAATATATGAAGAACAGAGAAATGGAAAGAACGTAAACAAGAAAAAAATCAAAATCAAAAATGTCAACAGTCCCCAAAACATACCAAATTATATATATATATATATATATATATATATATATATATATATATATATATATATATATATATATATATATGTGTGTGTGTGTGTGTGTGTGTGTGTGTGTGGTTAAATAATTTAGACGCATTACCTTTTTTTTTTTTTAATTTTAACCCTTTCAAGTCTACGAATTAATATCTTGGTGGCTGTAGAAAATTGATTAAGAAAGTGTTTGTAGCAGCAGAGTTTTATATAAAAGACTAAATTAAAATATTATAAGTAAAAAACTTTTTTCGTTTTTCAATATTAAAATTAAAATTACAAAGTTACTTCCTTTGCATATTCGAATTTGGAATGCTGTAAACAGTGAAAAAATATTTTGAATTTACGGAATTACTGTATACACGCATACAAAGATATTTTAAGCTCTTGAAGATGGTCTCAGATGAGATTAAACGTATTTGGGAAAAATAAAATTATTCCAAAGAAGATTTTGCAATTTTTCTTAATTAATTTTATACGCCCACCAAGAAGTTAATTCGTCGACTTGAAAGGATTAAAACTAAAATAAATAATACGTTTAAATTATTTAACCAAATATGCTTGAATGAAAATATGCTTGCCTATACATCAGACCAACTTGGCCACGTTGGACCGACTGATCAAACAATCCTGAATAGTATTTTTGAACACACATCTCCCTGATTCTCGAAATATACATATCTGTTCAATTTAATTTATTTGTTTAAACGTTACTTTTAATGGATAATGGCCGGTAGATGTAAATAAATAAATATACTCTTTAATAATTAAATAAAAAAAGGCCATCGACTGAAATACGAATATCATTAGAAATAACGTTTCAAAAAATAAATAAAAAATCTATCGAATTTAAACCTTTCCCTAATAAACTGTCTTTGTTTACGTTAGTATACAAAACAGAACAGATAGGCATATTTTGAGAATGGGAAAGATGTGTGCTCAAAAAGTACTATTCCCATACATCAATGCATATATATATATATATATATATATATATATATATATATATATATATATATATATATATATATATATAATGTATTAGGTAGCAGATCAATATTTAAACATATATTGATAAATATAACAATCAATGAAAGTCTATTATGTTTGATCATGAGCCGTTATAAACTTCGTATATTTGCTTTTATTTCGGGTGAAAATAAAGACAAAAATTCTCCAACATTTGGATATTTTTTATTATACTATTACTTGATCTAAGCTTTCGCTTCACATGAGACATCTTCAGAATAGTTATACGGCCATTTAAACAAAGATTTTCACCATCAAAGATGATGCCTGTATAAACACTCTGAAGAGGACTCATGTGAGCCGAAAGCTCAGATCAAGGAATCAAAGCAAACATAAGAAGTTTAGAACGGCTTAAGAATATATTAAACTTACACTGTCTGTTATACACACAAACACACACAGACACACACACAGACACACACACACACACACATACATATATATATATGTATATGAAGAGATGTATTTTTAAGGTGTGCTATATTAATGGGATGAAGTGTTAATATCAGATATAGAGCGTATGTAAATATAAAAGTGAACATTGAAGTCAACACTCAGAGGCGACAGACTATTTCATGCTAGACGCAATCATCAGGCATCATGTGTTTTTTTTCTCTCGACTATTTATGTATACGCTTCAGTGGTGCATTTTGGGCAGTCCGTACATCATACATGTAAAAACAAACGTAGGAAAAATATTCTTCAAACTCTTACACAAAAACTTCCCGGAATCAAGCACACTCCAGAAAATATTCAACAAAAACACAGTAAAAATCAGCTACAGTTGCACCGAGAATATGGCACAAATAATTAAAAAAAAAAGCACAGCAAGAAAACACTCAACAAACCACCCGAACAAATTAAACCCACGTGTAACTGCAGAAGAAAAAATGAATGTCCCTTAAACGGTAATTGCTTACAAAACAATATAATATACCAATTCACGGTAAAATCACCAGATTATGAAGAAAACATATACATAGGAGTGACTGAAGGAACCTGGAAACAAAGAAATATGCACAGAAAACATCTTTCACAAATAGTAAATACGGGAACAGCACAATGCTTTCTAAGAATATCTAGGAAATTGAAAACAAAACACAAAAATAGCTATTATTGTCTTCCTAGACCAAAACAAACTACTAAATAAACGATCAGAATTCATCTCAAAATGAAAAAAATATTTTTTCTACGTTAGAATCGAAAACTGAAAAGAATAAATAAACATAAATAAAATAGAAATTAAAACAATAAATTAATCCAAGCATATAATATACAAATTAACGAACCACTAGAATAGACTAAAAAGAATAAATAAAAATAAAAGAAGAAAAAAATAGATATAATTAACTTCCCAAATCATAACAAACTATTATATAAACGATCAAAAGTCATCTCAAAACATTTTACTACGTTACTTAAAATTCGAAAATAGAAGAAAAATTATAAAATAAAAATAAACAATAAAAACAATTAAAATAAAATAATCCAAATAAATAAATAAATAAAAGACAAATTAACAAACCGCTCCCGCCAAAAGGATCATTAGAATAGATTGAAAAGAATAAATAAATATAGTAAGTATAGTAAATAATAAACAAATTAACAAACCACTACCGCCAAAATAACCGATAAAATAGACTACAAAAAAGCAATCGCAAAATTCGACGAAACCTTGCTTTAATAGCACCACTAACCCAAACCATATATATATATATATATTCGACAAAAAAACACGTCTACCATGAAACAGCCTGTCGCTTCTGAGCGTTGACTTCAGTGTTCACTTATATATATATATATATATATATATATATATATATATATATATATATATATATATATATCCATGTATAGATTGGTGTAGACAAAAATAAAATGCCAATAATCAAAAAGGCTATTCTTAAAGGAGTGCTCAATACAGATTAAAGCCAATATTATTTATTCAAAACTTATAACATAAACATGCTATAACATTACTCCAAAAATAGCAATTTTGTTTCAACATTTCTCGTGCCTTCTCAACATCATCACTTGAGAAGACACCGGAAGTCTTGAAATAAAATGGTTATTTTGTAGTGTTTTTATAACATGTTTATGTTGAATTTTGAATAAATTATATATATATATATATATATATATATATATATATATATATGTTTGATTATAGAAACATATTTATATATAATTATAATATATATATATATATAACTATAGTATATATATATATATATATATATATATATATATATATATATATATATATATTATATAGCAATACATATATATATAATTATAGGAATATATGTATATATAATTATACCAAAAAATGTATATATAATTAAATATATATATATAATTATATATATATATATATATATATATATATATATATATATATATATATATATATATATATATATATATATATATAATTATATATATATATATAAATTATAGGAATATATGTATATATAATTATACCAAAAATATATATATATTAAAGCAGTATATATATATATATATATATATATATATATATATATATATATATATATATATATATATATATATATAGCAGCATGGTCCGGCGTTACCCGTGCTTGATTCAAAAATCGTACGACACATACAGCAATCGCGATCACTTGACTTAAAATGTTTTTTTGCCTTCCTTGCCTTTAAAAGAGTGCCCTTCGCCGTGCTGATGTTGCTACATGTCTTACTTCTTGCCTATCTCACACTGCGATTTTTTTCTAAGCTCGATACTAAACATTAAATCTGTTACGAAAAAGGAACTAAACTAAAAACACAAAACGATCAGCTTTAAAAAAGGACTCGTAACTGGAAAAACCGAATGAAAAAAGAATGTTAACAACAAATACTTTTTCACATCCAACCCAGATCTAAGTAATCAGAATCAACGTTGAGTTTAAGCAAGCGAATGAGCCAATTGGAGTAAAGTGCCATGCAGATTTAAATTTTTCCCACTTGTGACGAATGAAGCTATCGATTTTTTTTTCATGCTAGTTAACATTCGTGTCAGTCAGCTGTTGTCTCTCACGCTGGCCTATAGAATCTTCCTGGCTTTTCGTGGCAGTCAGCTATTGGCTATCACTTTGGCCAGTACAA